CCCTCTCTCCCTCTCTCTTTCTCTCTTTCTCTCTTTCTTTCTTTCTCTCTTTCCTTACTTATAAAGTAAGCTCTATGCCCAACGTGGGGCTTGAACTCATGACCCTGAGATCAAGAGCCACATGCTCTCCTGACTGAGCCAGCCAGTCGTCCCTGGGTGGGGAAAAGTGCCCAGGCCAGCCTACCAGCAGGGAGAAGTGAGACTCATAAAGCCCCCAGAGGAGCAGCTCGGCTGGGCCCAAGCAACATAAGCCAATTCCCATCAGGCTGATACATGAACTTATCACATGCTTACGGTTGCACGTCACTGAGATATAGTCACTGGTTGTTACAAAGCATAAATTAACAAGAGCTAACTGGTCCAGCAAAGGCAAGAGTATTTTGAAAATATAATGCATTATGCACTTTCCCCCAAGTCTGTTATTTATTTTGTAACACAAAAACCGTAGCATAGGGGCGCCTGGGTGGCTCAGTCGGTTAAGCGTCCGACTTCGGCTCAGGTCATGATCTCTCGGTTTGTGAGTTCAAGCCCCGCGTCGGGCTCTGTGCTGACAGCTCAGAGCCTGGAGCCTGTTTCGGATTCTGTGTCTCCTCCTCTCTCTGCCCCTCCCCTGCTCATGCTCTGTCTCTCTCTGTCTCTTAATAATAAAGAAATGTTTAAAAAAAAAACAAAAACAAAAACAAAAACAAAAAAAAACCCTGTAGCATAATTGTATACAAGTGCAATGAACATTTCATGGTAGGACCTAAGGCCAGACCTACCCTCAATCACAAGATGAAGTGAACCCACATGAAGAAATATGTGCCCGAGGTAAAATGCTTGAGTTGATATCTCTTCCTTACCTTTTAGTTTACTGACTTCAATTTTCAGTGCCTTCAATTTCTGCTTGTAATCTTGTTTCTCCTTCACAATACAAGTCTCCACCATCTTAGCGTCACGCAAGGCATGCTCTAACAATTTAAATTTTCCTGAGCAGTCTGCAATGTGATTGACGGCCTCGATAATATCTTTGTCCTAAAAACCAAATGTGAAGACTGTTCTGTAAGATTTTTTAAGTTCCAACTAATCAGGATAAGATCTCGCTATGAGCCAGGTTCCATTCTAGGCACTTCGCTGCTAACTCACGTAATCTCCACAGGGGCTCTCTGAGGTAGGTACTACCTTTATCGGCTGGTGACAGACGAGTCAACGGTAAAAAGTCCAAGGTTACGCAACTAGTCAGAGATGGAGCTCCAATTTGCACCTAGTTAGCTGCCCCGGCAACCATGCATGAACCCCACAGCCTGTGGTCTCAGAAAGTTTATAACCACAGTGTGATTGTGCAATAGGAGAGCTGTTGGCCGCTGGAACGGGCCTTACTCTCTGCACTACAGATAAATCCCATGGGCCTCTCTCTTCCCTTCTTTTCAGCTTGTTAAAATGGCAGACTCCAGGGGCGCCTGGGCGGCTCAGTTAGTTACGCGTCCGACTTCAGCTCAGGTCATGATTGTGAGTTCGAGCCCCGTGTCAGGCTCTGTGCTGACAGCTTGGAGCCTGGCGCCTGCTTCAGATTCTGTGTCTCCCTCTCTCTCTCTGCCCCTCCCCTGCTTGCACTCTCTTTTTTTCTCTCTCTCTCAAAAATGAATAAACATTTTTTAAAAATTTAGAAAAATTTAGGGGCGCCTGGGTGGCGCAGTCGGTTAAGCGTCCGACTTCAGCCAGGTCACGATCTCGCAGTCCGTGAGTTCGAGCCCCACGTCAGGCTCTGGGCTGATGGCTCAGAGCCTGGAGCCTGTTTCCGATTCTGTGTCTCCCTCTCTCTCTGCCCCTCCCCCGTTCATGCTCTGTCTCTCTCTGTCCCAAAAAAAATAAATAAACGTTGAAAAAAAAAAAATAAAAAAAAAAATTTAGAAAAATTTAGAAAATTTCAGAAAAAAATTTGAGAGAGACAGAGCATGATCAGGGGAGGGGCAGAGAGAATCCCAAGCAGGCTCAGCACTGTCAGCACAGAGCCCAATGTGGGGCGTGAACTCGTGAACTCTGAGACTGTCACCTAAGCCGAAGTCGGACACTTAACCAACTGAGCCACCCAGGCGGCCCTGTTAAGAAAGCTTGCCCATGACCACTTTAAAACAGTAAACTGCTGGGGGAAATCACACATGAATTACCAGGAGCGTCCCATTATACCTAAATCACTCTCTTATTCTCCAGCTGCCAAACATATGTGACAGCAGAAGAGACTGCCAATCACTGATCATGGCATGTTAGTGGCTCTATCAACTACTTGATTGCTAATAGTTTTTCTCTCCATTAAAAAAAACTTAACAAGCAATCTAACTGGAAATGACTTTATGAGACATAACATTGGATACCTCAGAAGAAAACAAGTTAATCCAGACATGCTAAACCATGGAACAAGCCTTGGAGACAGAGACCAAAAGTGGAGTCCTGCCTCCTCTCTCAAGGCCTTAGGGGCATCATTGTTGTTGTTGTTGTTTTTATTTATTTTTGAGAGAGTGCAAACGGGGGAGGGGCAGAGAGAGGGGGACAGAGGATCAGAAGCAGGCTCTGTGCTTGAGGCTGACTGCAGCGAGCCAACGTGGGGCTCGAACTCACAAACCGTCAGACCTGAGCCAAAATCGGACACTCAACCGACTGAGCCACCCAGGTGCCTCCTTAGAGACACCATTTTAAACTTGTTTCCCTCTTTTCTGAGAATTTTATTTTTTTTTAATTTTTTCTATGTATAAGTAATCTCTACACACAACCTGAGGCTTGAACCTACAACCTGGAGATCAAGAGTTGTATGCTCCACTGACTAAGCCAGCCAGATGCCCCTAAAATGAGAATTTTAAAAGACAGAGCAACATTGGTAGGTAGCTCTACCATCCGATTTGCAATGGGACTTAAGTAAGATAATGTACGTGACGACACTTTATCAAGTTCAAAGCGCTCTGGCAGATGGAGGTATTATTATCTGAATTACCTTTAGCTTTATCATTGTAGTGAGAGCCTGTTCTCGAGCTTGTAATTGTCCTACCTGAGCAGAAAGTTCCACTAATGTGTTGCTGAGATTTTCATTTCTAGCCTACAAGAAAACAACACATAAAATACTAATTGAATCATTTAAAAGCTTTCATTACTATCATTAGCCGCAATCTGTGCTCAGTGTTCCGTTTTGTTTTTTCTGTACCTTTTATTTAGTAACAAAGTAGGCCAAGTCAATCAAAAAGGAATACAAATATCTCTGTCCATTACCTCTAGCGTCCTCCCGATACTTATGTTTGCCCTACTGAATCATACTGGTTATGCTTATAAATGTCTATTTCCCAACCTCTTCCATGTATGATTCTAGGTTGGCAGAAAAGAAAATAAACAAATGAAAACCGGATTGGTAAAGAGATTCCCTTCGCTGAAGTCAAGTAGCATTAGTGAACTTCTGTGCATTTGTATTTCTTACTCTATGTTGAAAGAACTTCACTTCATATTGGGGTATTCCCACTTATCAGGGTTTTTTTTTTCCCCCTTAACCATAGAACTGAACCACAGAACTACATGATATATTTGGAAATACAAACTACATGATGTATCTGGTTGGGAAAAAAAAGAATAATGAGGCTTTTTAAACAGTATCTTCGTGAAGGAAACTTAAATGCATGTTACTAAGTGAAAGAAGCCAATCTGAAAAAGCTACTTATTATATTCCAACTATACGACATTCTGGAAAAGACACAACTACGGAGAGAGTAAAAAAGGTCAGCAGTTGCCAGGGGTTAGCGGAGACAGGAATGGAGCACAGGCTTTTTAGGGCAGTGAAACTATTCTGTACAATACTACGGTGGCGGGTACATGTCATTACACATTTGTCAAAACCCACAGCATACACACCACCACGAGTGAACCCTAATGTAAACCGTGGACTTTGGGGGATAATGATGTGTCAGTGTAGATTCACTGAGTATAACCAAGGTACTACTGTGGGTGCAGAATGTCCACAGCTGGGGAGACTGTGTTTGGTGGTGGAAACAGGGGGCATGGGAGAAATTTTTGTACCTTCCACTTGATTTTGATTTTAACATGAAATTGCTCTAAAAAATAAAGCTTATTAATTAAAAAAAAAGTCTTGATGCCACAAACTACATTGCATCCCTCCCAAAACATGCATGTTGAAGTCCTAACCTCCAATATGATGTTATCTGGAGATGCTCCTTTGAGAGATAATCAGGTATAAAAGAGGTCACGAGAGTGGGGCCCTCACAATGGGATTAGTATCCTTATAAGAAAAGACACCAGAGATCTTGCTCGTTCCCTCTCTCATGTATTTCCTTTTTTTTTTTTTTAAAGTAAGCTCTATGCCCAATGTGGGGCTTGAACTCATGACCCTGAGATCAAGATTTGCATGCTTCACTAACTGAGCCAGTCAGGCACCCCTACATTTCCATTTTTTCATGCAACATATCACTGGATTCTAGAATAGTTTTTACTTATCTTCTACCTAGAAACTACAGAATAATCTGAAAAAATAAAAAAGGCATGATTATTATGAAACAAAAATATGGTGCTCTCTCCATGCCTCTCATAAAACAGGAGTTAAAAAAATATCTTGATGACCAGAGCTCAAAACTGGAAAATCAGTCTTACCGATTTTATTCCCAATGGGCCACTAACATGACATAGATATTGTTTATGTTTATCATTGTTTATCATATCATTTTTATCATGTTTATCATGATAAAACATGTTTATCATGTTTATCATTGTTTATCATTATCATATAAGGCATGAGAAAGCCTAGTTGGAAGCTACCAAAACTTCCAACCAAAACTTACTCATCTCAGACTCTGAGAAAGGCTTCTAAAATAACCCGTTACTGATGAAATGACAGATGCTCCTAGGCCCAATGGCCTGAGAGCAAAAGTGGTAATGAAGTTCATCTCCAAGACGGCACAGCTCTGTGCAGCCAACCAAAGCCACACAGTGGACACAAAACCATGGCAGTGGAGGGAAGGACAGATTTCATACACAGGCATGCATTTTCATGGAAGCATTTAAATCCAATTTCTCAGTAACTGAAACACAAACAGAATTTGGGCAAGTGAAACTCATCACAAAATAAAACCAACCTCAAGGTCTTCAGAAAGGAGAGAGGAATGGGTTGCCTTTTGAGCCATTTCCTGAAGCTGTAGTTGAGTCTTCTGAAGAGCCGCCTGGTATTCAGTTTGATTAGATTCAAGGGTTTTTACCTTCTTCGTGAGTGACCGGATTATTTCAGTTCTTTTGTGTAGTTCACCTGAGGGAAATTTCATCAATAACTAACTTGTGACCAGAACTGAAGCTTAAAATGCATCATATTCAAACACAAAATTAAAAAGGTAAGTGTGCTATGGGGTGCGTAAGTGGCTCAGTTGGTTAAGCATCGGATTCTTGGTCTTGGCGCAGGTCATAATCTTTTGGTGGGTGAGATCGAGCCCCACACTGGGCTCTGTGCTGACAGGGCAGAGCCTACTTGGGATTCTCTCTCTCTCTCTGCCTCCCCACCCCCCGCTTGCACACTCTCTCTCTCAAAATAAATAAACTTAAAAAAAAAACATAGGCGTGCCTGGATGGCTCAGTCAGTTGTGTCCAACTTCGGCCCAGGTCATCATCTTACGGTCTGTGGGTTCAAGCCCGTCGGGCTCTGTGCTGACAGCTCAGAGCCTGGAGCCTGTTTCAGATTCTGTGTCTCCCTCTCTCTCTCTGCCCCTCCCCTGTTCGTACTCTGTCTCTCTCTCTCTCTCAAAAATAAATAAACTTTAAAAATTTTTAAATAAAAATAAAAGGTAAGCATGCTAAAGAATTTTTTAAAGGATAACTCTTTTTAAAGAGTTTATTATGGGGGCGCCTGGGTGGCTCAGTCGGTTAAGTGTCCAACTTCGGCTCAGGTCGTGACATCATGGTCTGTGGGTTTGAGCCCCATGTCGGGCCCTGTGCTAACAGCTCAGAGCCTGGAGCCTGCTTTGGATTTCGTGTCTCCCTCTCTCTCTGCACCTCCCCTGCTTGCTCTGTCTCTCTCTCTCCTAAAAAATAAACATTAAAAAAATTTTTTAAAAATAAAAAGTTTATTATGAAACACACGATACCATATTCAAGAAATAGAACACTGTCGGCAACCCAGAAGCCCCCTGGATAGCACTTCCTAAGCACAATCTCTCCAGTTTCCACTTTCCCAAACATTATCCTTAACTTAATCATTTCTTTGCTTTTTAATTATAGTTTTACCATCTATGACCACATCCCTAAAAATATGGTTTGATTTGAACCATATATAATTAGAATTATACTCTGAGTTCTTGTTTGTTTTTTTTCACTTAAGATTATGATCCTAAGATCTATCCACATTGTTGTGGTTAACTGGTGTTTGGGCACTGTTGTTGCTACATAATATCCCATTATATGATTATGCCAAAATTTATTTACCCATTCTATTGGTGGTCACTTGGGTTGCTTCCACTTTGCAGCTATGAACAAGGTTGTTCTGAATATTCTTATACATGTATCTTGGTGCATTTTTGCACGAATTTCTCTGGAGCCGTCCTAGTACTCAAATGGGGTACCACCAGCACTGACATCACCTGGGAATTTGTTAGAAATGCAGACTCTTAGGTGCCAGACCTATTGTATCAGAATCTACATTTTAACAAGATCTTTAGGTAATTCATGTGTCCTCCGAACTGTGGGTATATTCCTAGAAGTGGAAATGCGGGGGCCATGAGCCATGTTTATCTTCAACTTTACCAAATACTGTTAAATGATTTTCCAAAGTAGCTGCACCGACGCTCCCACCTGCAGTGAAGGGAGTCTTCCCTTGGCTCCACACCTTTACCAACACCTGATAACTACTACCAGTCTGAGAAATGTAAAGGGTGTCTATCTCATTACAGTTTTAATTTGCATTTCCCTAATTAGTAATGAGAATGATTGTCTTTTTTACATATTTACTGGCCAGTTTTCCATGAAATGCCAATTAACATTTCTTATTTTAAAATCAGATACTGATGGCTACTTGTTATCTTCATTCTTTAACATATTTGTTTAAAATATATTACATCTAATGAAACGCTGTTTATGTGTATACATGTGTGGACGGGTATAGTCAGTAAAATCAAATGGTCATCAAAGAAATGGAAAATTACTCATATTTAGATGGTCATGTCTACAGAATCCTTTGTGTAAGGGAAGTAAAAAAGGAGGTGCTATATGGTTATCTATTAAGGAGATCTAGTGTTTTCCTTTCTAATACCGTCTAACATTAACGTAGTGTCACTAGAACATTCAGACTTTAGGGCAGCACGAAAGGATGACAGAATTAAAATATGGTACAAAAGAACGTTTTTTCCAAGCCATTTTTGAGACTGCTATATTTTTAAAAAGATGACTGGGGGCGCCTGGGTGGCTCGTTCAGTTCAGCGTCTGACTTTGGCTCAGGTCATGATCTGAGTTCGTGGGTTCAGCCCCGCATCAGGCTCTGTGCTGACAGCCCGGAGCCTGGAGCCTACTTCAGATTCTGCATCTCCCTCTCTCTCTGCCCCTCCTCCACTCATGCTCTGTCTCTCTCTCTTAAAAATAAACATTAAAAAAATAAAATAAACTCAAAAAAATAAAAATAAATTTAAAAAGATGATTGTTTTAGGTACTTCAGATTAAGTTCAATATCAAAAGTTTATAAAATCTTTCAGTTCAACAGAAATGGCTAGTCTGATAGAATCTTTATTCATATTCTAGCTCAAAACTAATTTCCCTCAGATTCACTCTCAACACTGCAGCCTAAAAATTGGAACTCTGGGGTACCTGGGTGGCTCAGTCAGTTGAGCGTCTGACCTTGGC